ATACCTCACCCAACAAACTGCATCACATCTGCAGAGCCTAGCTCCCCTCTCAAGATTGGGGAAAGTCACCAACACAAGAGCAGTCCTCAGCTGTTCAGGTCAACAAATTTCTTCCTCTCGTCAAGAGTTACTCAATGAACCACAAGACTTTGGAATACCTAAAAATACAGCTCATTGACATGGCTTTCAAGATTCCCTAGGAGGAAATAATGTAATGAGAGGCTTAGAGCAATTTCCAGGGCCTAAAATGGCCCCAAGAGACTCAGTAGGCTTTCTATAACTATTTGATCGTTGATAGATAGCAGTGAACCCATTCTATCAGAAGAAGCCCAGTGACATATCCTACTGGGAAAAAAATTCTTTTAGGAGTTGAATAGTGGAATGAGTGACTAAGTGCAGTGCATGTGTTTGAGGGGGAAGAATTCTCATGATCTAGTCAGCCCCCCATAAAAGACACTATTCAGGTTTGTAACAGCAGCCTTCACAATTGGAGTTGATGTGTGTGTGTGTGTGTGTGTGTGTGTGTTTAAGATGATGATTATTTTCTTCTGTTAAACCCACACAAGGGCATTTCTTATGACAATGCTTGTAATATTGACTCATGGTCACAATTCCTGCAGTTTTAGCTCTCAGATAACAAGCAAATTAAGAATTAAACTTGGCTATCAAAAAAAATATATCCCTACTCTCCAAAGAGGGACGTGTACAAACATTTTCCTTGTATCACAACCCCGAAAGACACACACATTCACATACTTGTGCACACGTGTACCTGTGTACACTTAGGGCAAAAGATGCCTCCTCCCATACCCTGATCCCTGCCAGCCCTACATGACCTCAGAGGAGGGCTAGGCTCTAGATGATTCAATCTGGAGCCTTTGGAACAATAGGCCATAGTGACCTCAGTCCCCAGAAACTCTGTAGCTTTCTGCAGGAAGAAAAGGTTTAACCTGATTGCCCTGGTTAGGTTTTCCATTCTATAATAGCCAAGTTATTAGAATTCAGGTAGATACTAATTCCAGGTAATTCTGGAAAAAAAGAAGCTTTTTTTTTAATGGTCAGCAGGTCATTGGCCATTTCACTTCAACCTAGATAGCTGTGCTAGAAGTATTTTTGTAAAAGTCACCAATGATATCTATTTGCTAATAGCAGAGTTTTTTAGTTTGTTTGTTTGAGTCCTCTTTTAACTTCTTAACTTCCAAACTTCTTAACCCTCCTGTGGCAGAGACGTAATTGTTTCCTCTTCTTCCTGGGCACAGCAGACTGCATTTTGCTGCCTCTCTTGCAATCAGAGTGATTATGTGACCCTCCCCAGTAAAAGTGCTCTGTGCCACTGTGTCATTTCAGGCCTGGTGCTGATGGAAGAAAAAGGAAGGTTTTGCCCCTTCCTTTTTCTCCTCCAATATCTCTCCCTCTCTTAGTTGCCCAGCATAGGAATCAACTCCCAAGTAACCCCAAAAAGTAAAGACTAAAAATATAAAGTTGTCATTAGCCTTGATTTCTGAATAACTTCATGGAGCAGAGCTCCCACAAACGAACACTGAACTTGACTTATACAAAAAGAAGCTTCTTGTGATGGGCTATTACATACAGACCAATTTGTTATGCCTTCTGTCACCTCAAAATCTATCCCTAATTTCTTGAATCATATTTTTTCCTTCTGCTTTCATGACATCATTGCCCCATACCTCCCCTTTGACCATTCTCCTGTCTCACTCTTTGAGAAATTTCCACCAGGCTCTCATCTTTCCTCTTCTCATCTAATGTGCTTTTCTGGAAAGATCTCCTTTCCTATGTTTGATCTATCAGTGTGCTGATGGTCCCCAAATATTTCTCTATCCCATACTCTGAAACTCACCACCCTCCCCCATAAACATCCTCCTTGTCTATATCATTAGTTGATTCCTCAGTCCTCTCCCTTTGGGGGCTACTTTATTTCCACCTTCCCTCCAACCTCCCAGCCCTACCCAAACACTGAGACCCAATGGTTACCACTGCACACATCTTCACACGATGCCCACAGCAACCTCTGAATCTTTCCGTCTCTACTTCTACTGCCTTCGTTCAGACCCCGTCACATCTTCATCTCTCCAAATGTCTCACTGCTGCCTCCTTCTCCAGGAGCCTTGTTCACCAGACTTTGGTCAGAGTTCCTGAACAAAAGTGCAGACATGCAGGCACCCTCACTCACTCACCTGACCCTTAAAGATTCCTGTGGTTCTCCGTTGTCATACTAAGCAATAATTATGGCTGCTATCTAAGCAGAGCTTCCTGTGTGCCAGGCACTGTACTAAGTGCTCTAATAAAATTAATTTAATACTTGTCTCATTCATTTCTCTGGACAATTATAGAATAGGCACTGACATCCTCATGTTGCAAATAAAAACTCACTTAAATTGTATAACTCACTTGTTCCTGACCACAAAATTATTAGCTAGTAGAGCTCAAAGAATTCATTCTGACCCCAAGATCTCTGGGCTTAACCATTGTTGGGGGGAAAATGCCCTGGACTTACACTAAATTTGTTAATACAGCCCATAAAACCCTTCAGAGTCCAATCTGGGCCAACTTCTTCATCCTCATCTCCACCTCTTCCATTCTAGGAACCAGACCCACTGAATCTGTTCCTCGTCCTTAAATGTTTTGTCTTTTCAACAATCAAATATTTGCCTAACTCAGTGCTCTGCCTGAGGCTGATGCTCAAAACATTTCAATTTCCTTCTTCTACTCCTTTGTGAATCCTACATGTATGTGTCCCATTTCTTCTCCCTATATGCCCCTTTCTCCATGCCCAGCATGTTCTGAATTATTTTTCAAAAGTCATTTGGAATATTTCTTCTCCCTTGTCAGACTTCCAGGCTTTCCGGGGCAGAGTTATTTTCTTGTGCTTTTTGTTCCCTTATCATTCCTTCAATCCCTTGGTTGTGGTGTTTAGTCCCTCATATTGCAGTGAATCTGTTCATAGATCTGGCTCCCATCATCTCCTGTAAACTTACTAGGGTCAGGGAGAACATCAGCAATGCTCATCTCTTTATCTACAGTCCCTTGTGTATGTAATAAGTGTCTAAAATCTAATGGTTGAATGAATGATACAGGATTGAATGACATAAACTCTTTACATAAACATTTCATAAATTTTTTTTTAATTTTTTAATCAGCTGTCCTGAAGTCTAATTCTATTCCCTGCTGTTATTTTATATAACTGAAAATGAAATGAGGACTGTGCTCAGTGTCCTGAACATCTTTGAAAACCAGTTGAGAGATACATTGATCCATAAAGTAGCCACCACCCACATGTGGCTATTAAGCACTTGAAATATGATGAGTATGAGTTAAGATGTGCTATAAATATAAAATATACACAGGATTTCAAAGACTTAATTGTTTTGTTTTGTTTTTGAGACTGGGTCTTAGCTAAGTTGCTTAGGGCCTCACTAACTAGCTGAGGCTAGCTTTGAACTTGTGATTTTCCTACCTCAGCCTCCTAAGCCACTGAGATAACACTTAATATTTTTTTTAAAGAATGTAAAAAATTTCATTTGTTATTTTTACATTTATTGCATAAAGATATTTTTGATATTTTGGGTCAAATGAAATATATCATCAAATTTAATTTTTCTCATTTTTTTTTCTAGTGTGATTACTAGAAAAATTTTAAATTATGTATGTTATTTGAAGTCTATTTCAGTTAGACAGAGCTGGTTCAGAGTTTCTGTTTTATGAGGGTAGTCACTGTGGTTTGGGTAGGAAAACACTGGCTTAACAGTCAAGAAAAGTTTCTTCTCTCTCCTCCTAAGGCAAGAAAGAAGGAAGGAAAGAAGGAAGATAAAGAGGAAGAAAAAGAGGAGGAGTAGAAGGTAGGAGGGACAGAAGTTATTGCCATTTTAACTAAAAACATAGAGAGTTATATGATGCAACTTCACATTTAGAGGATAAAAATCATTTCTTTCAACTTGATACAGCTGTTCAATCTTTCATGTAACCATAACTAAACACTGAGAAGGCCCTACCTAAATCTAGACTCTGAATTGTGTTAAAAATATTAAATGATAGCTGGTATACCAGAACTTTCTAAAAGGGGCATTATCCAACACAACTCAGAATGAAGAGAGACCTTTCATTTTATTGACCTTATAGTATTTCAGACATTTCTCAGATGCCATCTCAAATTCATACTGAGGATGGCTAGAGAAGAATGATAAAGAGACATAGACCAAAAGGAAAGGGAATTTCAGGAAAAATGTTCAGAGTCTATACTATGAATTTATGATGATCATTGAAGCTTACTTTTTTAATTGGGATAGAGACATTTCTTCCACCTTTGGCTCCATGGTCTCAGAAGTCGTCTTGTCTGAATCATAGTGGATTATTTAACTCTGCTCTGACATCCTCAAAAAATTAGTAGAATATGGATTTGGGGATTTTAATATTTGCTCCACTTAATTATCAGTACTCATTAGGTCTGTTTTTGTGATAATGTTCTACCATTAATTTATAAATCTCTTGGTAACTAGAATTATATAATGGTTATTGTTTTTTAAATAAGATTCATTATTATCAGCAGTTTATTATGCAAATAAAGTGTCAAGAAAACCTAACCGTTATTTAGTAACTATTTCCTATAGAAATTACTGTAATTATAGCATGATATGGTTCAAAAAAATATTGATGAGAAAATTCAGAGATTTGGGTTTTTGTCAGTTTGGACCTTTTTTACCCCCTGCCTCACCTCAAAATTGGATAACAAAAATCATCTGCCTCACTCAACCTCCAGATTGTGATACAAAATTAATTGTTCCACTTTTATATTTTCAAGCAAAAGTAGATAATTCTTTAATGTAATCCAAAGTCACAATGTTCATTCCCATTTCAGATTTAAAATCCTTAAATATTCTCTACAGCTTTTATACATGTTAATAAACAGAATTGTTTAGACGACAAAAAGAACAAACATGCTATTGCCTTCACAGAATTAAAACAGAAAAAAAATGGTTTCTTACCGCTCCTCATCTGTTCAACCTCACAGAAGTGTGTTCCAGTGGGAGTGTGAATAAATGCATGAATATGTTTAACTCCATTCTGAAAATTAGGGAAAATTTTGGTTTCAATAAAATTTTAGCATATATAACAAAGCCAATCTCTTTAATTAAATCAGGACCATAAATGACTGAGATGACCTTTTCAAAACGTTTCCAAGGGATCTCTTCCACGTAGACATGAGCTCGGAGGACATGGTTAAAAGAAGAAAGGAAATGCTCACAGATATTCAAAGCAAAGTTTTCTATGGTTTTGATCTGTAAAAAGAAACAAAATTTAGTGATCACAAATACTTTCCCAATTTAAAAATATTTTTAAAAATATTCATTGAGCTTGATCCTGGTCAATTGCTTTATAGAATAAAAGGAATAGAATTAGAAAGACAAACTGATCCTTATACCAAGTTCTCATTGGAGCTCCCAAGTGTTCATAGATTACCATCCCCAGCTGAGAGTCCAACCTGTTTTTTAAAGAAACCTGTCTTTCAGGAGAGGATATAGCAGTGGATGAGCAAAAAGGTACTTGTCATTCAGATTGTTCTCATAGTAAGCTCAATTATCACCTACACCAATCACAGTACCCTCCATAACACTGCAACTGGGTCTGCTGGTTCCCCATGGAAAAATATTAATGAAGAAATATCTCACCTGCCTTGCCTTGAAAATGGGTCTTCTGTTGATAATCCCCAGCTTTGCCCTCCCAGAAACTGTTCACCGTGTTCTCACAAATTCTCTATATTAATCTCCAGACAATATTTTAAAGTGCTAGCATGGTCTGTGAATTACTAATAGCTTTATATATAATTAAAGTTGTCTATTTGAAGGTTTCCCCAACATAGTTCTGTTTTGTATTTGTCCCAGCATGATTATTAATAGCATCCTATTTCACATTCAAAAGTATCTTGGTTTAGATAAGAAATTATATGGTCACTCCATCTCTAATAAATAAACTTAAATTGCTTTAACATTCAGGTCCATTCCTTCACTTTTCTCCAGAACAGAAAATACAGGAAACTCTGGTAGCTGGCCCTTTTCCATATCAGAGTACAGGCCTATATTCTAATTTTTTTTAAGAGCAATTTCTTTTTCCACAGCCTTTTCCTTTTGCTGGGCCATTATGATTTGCAAGAGAAAGGTTCAGAGTGGAAATAGGCTTTATAGAAATTACATTGCAATTAGTATGTTCATTTAATGTGTTATGGATATAGATTTCATGCAAAAAATGAAAAAAAATAAGTTTTGAGTCTATATTTCTTGCCTTTTAGACTTCTTGGCAAATCAATACTTATTTAGAATTGCCCACCAGCACAGCTCCATTCATATCTGAAGAAACTGGAAGTGGAAGTATGAAAGTATCATGTTCTATCAGATCTAGGTCACTCTTGAAGAGTACAATTAACCACCACTTATGGAAAGTAAGTGGTAAGGGAGTAAGCTAGGAAGGCATTAAAATCTGGAAAGTAGATTTCAACAATAAAAAAGGAATGTATCTCATTTTCAAGATGTTCTTCCGGGTAACAAGAAGAGAAATGTTACCTTCTACTATAAATTCACATTATTCTAAAAGAAACAATAAATGATAGGGCTCAAAGAGAGAGATGACAAAGTGTGTTAAATTGCATTCTAAAATCCTCCCAGGATTCTGATTTCCCTGTAATTAGCAATAATATGTTCATTTGTTCTATAGGATTATTAGTCTAAAAGATTGAAAAAGAGAGAATAAAGAGGAGAAAGAAAGAAAGAAAGAAAGAAAGAAAGAAAGAAAGAAAGAAAGAAAGAAAAAGCAAATATAAGTGTTTTTTTTTTTTTTGCAAGACTAAGAATCTTGTGGTAGAAAGAAAAACTTTAAAAATGGCTTAAATGTCAAAAAAATAGGTGAAAAAGTAATGAAAACTTTAAAAATCAAGCAACACCCCCAAACTATCTTACAGTGAATTCTCCATTACATTGACAGCACCTATGAAGAAAGATGCCTACCCCTTTGAACTTTGCTATGACATGAACTGTGTTCTTGATGGTGTCTGTAGGAATGATGTCTGAATTGTCTCCATACAGGTAATCCTTTTTGGAACTCAGAGTAAGTTGCACTGAAGTCACCACCTCTTTAATGCTGTGATATTTTCCATCTCTTTGAATGTGGAGAACTTTTACCATATCCTTCCCATAGCCCGTTCGCACAAACTCCACTTCATCGTTCTGTAATGAAAACATAATCATCTTATTGAAGAAGGCTAAATGAAAACAAAAAGTCAACTGAAATTTCTTTAAGTTTTAATTTTTTATTTGTTCTAAATAGTTATACATCACAGTAGAATGCATTTTGATACATCATACATAAATGGAGCATACCTTCACATTCTTCTGATTGTACATGATGTAGAATTACATTGGTCATGTATGCACATAGGATCATAATGTCCAATTCATTCTATTATCCTTCCTACTCCCACACCCCTTTCTCCCTTCACTCTCCTCTGCTGAATCCAAAGTACCTCTATTCTTCCTTATCCCACCCCACTTATTGTAAATTAGCATCCGCATATTGGAGAAAACATTCAGCCTTTGGTTCTTTGAGATTGGCTTATTTCACTTAGCATGACATTCTCCAGCTCTATCCATTTACCAGCAAATGCCATAATTTCATTCTTCTTTAAGGCTTAGTAATATTCCATTGTGTATATATACCACATTTTCTTTATCCCTTCATCTGAAGGGCACCTAGGTGGTTCTGTAGTTTAGCTATGGTAAACTGAGCTGCTATAAATACTGATGTGGCCGTGTCACTGTAGTATGCTGATTTTAAGTCCTTTGGGTATAAATCGAGGAGTGGGATAGCCAAGTTTAACTTGGTTCCATTCTAAGTTTTCTGAAGAATCTCCATATGGTTAAGCTTTAATTTTATCATTCAATTATAAAAGATCCAGAGTAGTTATGAAAGCAATATCACATCCTATCTTTGAGGAAGAATGGGAACTTCTATAGAAAAAAAAATCCCAAAAGAAAGTTTAATATATCAGATTACCCTGAAGACAGACAGGTAGATGATCTTCCTAGTGATAATGATAAGTAGTAAAAAAAAAAAAAAAATGAAAATCCTGAGTCAAAACTATGCTAATTTGCTCTGTATAGTTAATTCCTACTAATCTAATCCTTTTAACAGATCTGTGCGCTAATATTTTTGGTTTACAAAGGGAGAAACTGAGGTTCAAAGAGATTTAACATCTTCCTCTAGTTCAGTAAATGACAGTTAGGATTCACACTCAAGTTTGTTGACTCCAAACTATAAAGTGACCACTATGTAAATTGCCTTCTGTCTCTAAAATTTCTTGGCTATGTTAACTGGAACTAATCCTGGGCCCTTTTATATAGAAAGTGATATTCTGGAGAAAATGCCCTGTGATCAATAGAAACAATTTGAAAATCGCCTTTTCTATTTGCTGCCAGGAAGGAGAAGAATAATTGGTGACAGGGTCCAGATTACCTTCAGGAGTGCAGAGCCAGAGCCACCTGGCTGCAGAGAGAACTATGCTTTTAGCAAAGAGACATAATAAAAGCCTGGTGATTCATTAGGACGCTAGTCTGAAGCTGGAGCTTTAGTTCATCTCCATTGGCAGAATCCACAAGACTTGTCACTGGCTTTACTGGTGTTTGAAAGGAGGGAACAGAGAGAGAGAGAAACCTATTTCATTTAGCATGGAAATTGAACATCAAAATGGTAATGAGAGTGACAGAAATGAATATAAACAGAAAACAGCACCCAGTGGGAGTCTGGGCAGGAAGACAAGGAACCTCACTGAAATAGCACAATTAAGATGCTCAGATACACAATGGGTCACCTAAAAAAAATTGTTTTTCTTAAAAAAATTATGAGTTCCTCTGAGGGAAACAGAAATTATTACTATTCCCTTAATCAAACTGTGGCATGAAAGGCTGTTTCAAATTTTGGGGATGGAACTGGATGAAGCAGGCTCTTGTGAGTCTTATAACACACTGGCAGTGGAAGTGAGGTGGCTGGATTTGGTCCTTCTCAGCCAGGAAACTGAAGGGAAACTCTTGGAAAGGCCCCTCCAAGGCCTCGAATCCAACCTTCAGGAAACTTGCAATCAAGAAAAGGGTAGATAAGGAACCCGACAGCATATCTGAGAGATTGTAATAAGAATTTTAATACCGACAGGGAAGGAGAAACTCTTGTGTAATTATAATGGCTTTGGTATCAGACCAGTTCCAAATTCTGCTCACCACTTATAGCTTGGTGGCTTGTGACAAGTGATTTAATGTCTCTGAGCCTTCGTGTTCCCATTTGCATCAATAAAGATAACCACCTCTACCTGTAGGCTGCTGGTGAATAAGGGTTTGACTCTGTTCTGAGCAGCAACATTGACCATGTCAGGCCCACCTGTGGAAGCCACAGCAGCCAAGGCACATTGGTCAGGGGCACCAATTTGGAGGAGGAAAGCACTGCTGGCAGCAGTAGGAGGAAGACTCTGTCATGTCTTGAGCCAGAAGGTGTTCTACCTGGGGGAAAAGGCACTTGGCTGCTTGGAGCCCCTAAATGGCATGAACTGGGATCCAGAGTCAAAGATCTCTGAAATCAGTATTGTCTCCGACATTCAGCAGGACTCAGCACAATGTAGTCTTCAGTCCCATCCCCTGCAGTGAATATCCAAGCGCTGTGGTAGACAAGCTTGTAAAGTGGTATCTATGTGACGCAGAGAGATTACATGACAGCCACCCTTCAGATAAACACCTCTACAGCTTCCTACCTGTTCACACCCTGCTTCAGACTCTACTTCAGCAATCCTGTGCTAATTGTGGTGCCTAGGCTGGGCAAGCTTCCTCTGCCTGTTGGCCTTTGAATTTGCTATTCCCTTTTTCTAGAACATTCTTTCTTTTTCTTGCTACCCAACCACCAACCTCTTCGCCTGCCTCATTTCTTCTAGTTGAAGTTCAGATGTCAGATAACACTTCCTCCAGGTATTCTGACCCAGTCCTTCAAGTCTGGAGTAGGTACCTCTTTTTATGTGCTCTCAAAATACTTGTTATTGCCTTAGAATCTTTGTCAAATTGTACTGCAATTGCCTTTTCATGTGCCTGATTCATTCCAAAACAGTAAACTATGAAAGCAGGAACAAGTTCTTTCTTGGTCACCATGGCAACGCCAACACTCAGCACAGTGCCTGGAACATAAATAGGTGCTTGATAAATGTGTCATGAATGAATGGATGTTGCTGCTAACCACCTCCGCTGCTTGTGTGATGACACAGAATAGTCAACAAAAATACACAAAAGATTTCAATACAGGAAGAGCTGCTTCAGCCAGGACCCCATCAGGAACTTCCTCTTCCTGAGAAAGTGAAGATAAGAACTGTGCCTTCTGATTACCACAGACTGAACAGAGAGCAGAGACCCAGGAAGGACAGAAATGAGTGCACAGGGAGTCCATGAAGCAAGGTGTTCCCATTGCTAAGTGCAAGGCAGCCATCCCAGGCCAGAGATCATTTGAGACCAGGGAGAGGTCAGCACTTCTTAGCAAAATCCTGATGAAGCTAAGAAAAACTGGGACTAGAGAAAAGCTTGAGTAAGCAAGTTTACTGAGCAATGAGTCAAAATAAAATGGACCTAAACATCTGAGCCTGGAGCAGGATGGAACAAGTCCAGGATGGAACACCCCAAAAAGTCTCTCAGCAAGATTTGACAATAGATCATGGATTGGACCAGCACGAGGCTGAGAGGATGGGCTTTGGGCTTTGAAGTCAGGAAGCCCATATGGAATTCTTGTTCTGACACCTATTAACTCTGAATAGAAGCAAATTTCTCCATCTATAAAAAGGGAGTAATAGTAGTGTCCACCTCTTGGGATTGAAGTGAGGAGTACAGGAGAAAAACATAAAGCTGTAGGGAAAAAAAAGATAAGTGCTCAATAAATTTTATAATTATCACTGATAAATAATAATTGTATGTCCAATTTTACATTAAAGGATCTTTCTAGTTACTTGTAGAGATAAGTAGAGTATATGCCAAACCAAACCAAAGCTGGGGTAGGTAAAATCAAATGGCTGCCACTTCTACCTATCTACACTCAGGTATAGTGGCCTTATTTAAAGTTTCATGATCACTGATACTCATACCTTTGGTTGTCCTTCCTCAGCCCTCAGTGTGTGGTTTGAGGAAACCAACTTACAAAATGAAATTCAAGGGCTGGTGGGTAGCTCGGTGCTAGAGCTCTTGCCTAGCATGCATAAGGTCCTGGGTTCAATCTCAGGAGGAAAAAAAAAAGGAAATTCAATTTCCTAGAGTAATGCTCTGCACAAAATGTCAGCAGGAATAAATCTTTTATCTGTCTCTACACAAGAAGAATCTCCTCTCCTACGCATATCTTAAAATATAAAGGGATAGAGAGTTACACTTGTCTACAAAGTAATGGTGGAGGGACCTCAAGGGTTTGAAATGACACCAATTTTCATTTCTGCAATGAGATCATTAGCATTTGCTTGTGGGGAGTGGCTCTGAATGACCACACTTTCCAGTCCTGAAGCACCAAGCTCTGACCAATCACTAGATTTCATAGTGACTTGGGTGTTGTCTGAGCTCGGATACCCCTAGGGTCGGAGGAGCTGTCACAGAACCCAAAGAAGAAGGTATTTCTCTGTCTCTGTGTGATTATTTCATGCCAACCCAGTTCACCTGGAATGACCTGGGATGTTTGTCATGGGACACGACATTTGCTCATCTCTCAGCCATGTTTACAGTGATGAGATTGTCATGACAGGTCAAGGGGTTTTTAGCCTGGGGTCTGTTAACTTCCAGAAGGCCCAGAAGATGGATTTGGGGTGGAAGTATGTCCTCTATGAAGTTGTCACTAAAACTACGCATTTGCAGGGCACAGGATGGATTTTTCTGGGGAATGCACGTGTATATTTCATTAGGTTCCAAAGGAGTTCATGACTCATAAAAGTTTAAGAAACATTGCTCTGTGTAAGGTGGGTCCAAATTATGGGAACACTTTGGTCAACTTGCCATCCTGCCAACCGGCCACGAGATAGCACAAAGGAGGTGACTTGAGCATTCTTGGTGTACAGCCTCCTGGATGCAGTGAAGCAGTATTGTAAGAAGAGAGTAAAAGAGTATGTGAGCCCTGGTGTCAGACGACCTGCACCACCCGTTAGCTATGTGGTCCTGTGAAAATTATTTAATCCTTTGATTCCTTCCCTTTTTGATCTGAAAAATAGGATAATGTAGTACCTATTACCAATAGTTGTGAGGTTGAAAGTAAGTACTTAGAACAGTGACTAGCATTGAGTAAGTGTCACTAAATGTCAGCTATCATCATTATCTGGCCTGCCAATTTGACAAGAAGTAGTGGTTGGAACATTTCGATATCAATTCCATCACTAAATTTAGGGAGACAGCCTTATTTCTTTTGATCAACAGGACTGACAATATCATACCACACAGGTGCATGTTGTTTTGTTATAGTGGTATGATACTGACAAAACCAATACCTGACAATATAAATCATATTTTGAATCATATTACAGTGTACAACTATAATTCCAATGACTCGGGAGGCTGAGGCAGGAAGATTTCAAATTTGAAGCCAGACGGGGCAATTTATTTTGAGACCCTGTCTCAAAATAAAAACAAAAAAGGGCTGGGGATACAGCTCAGTAGTAGAGCATCCCTGGGTTCAATGCCCAGTACAGGGGAGGAAAATCATATTTTGAATGAATCCCACTTGTTTATACACACTGGGGGCCAATATTTATCTAGAGCGGGTGCTCTTCTCTCCTGTGCACCATGCTTTCTAGCCTTTTTGCATTTGTCCAGGCTTCCTTTTAACAGTAATGTTCACACACTCATACTTACATGTAACAGATTCTCAAATGAATTTCCTCATTCTCTAGTTGAGAACCAAGACAGAAAGAAGTATGTTTCTCCAGCCATCAGCTGGGATTTGACTTCAAGTCTGAGATTTTAACCACCCATCAGTACCACTGCCTGGAAGGTGCTCTCTCCAGGCCTTGTAGCTCATCTCACATTGGACTCCTCTGTAAAGCATGTCTCTTGTCTTTTTCCTTACAGCACACTGTGGTGAACAGGCACTAGCTATCGAGGTCAATTTCTTCCTCTATTATCTATGTGCGTGTCTTTGTATTGCCAATGCAATGATCTGAAGGCACCATCAAGTCATCTATATTCCTTACCGCACTTGATAGTGCTTTGTAAATTGTCACAGACTATTTGACCAAGGAACAAGCTCCCTCAGTTTGCACAGTATTTCAGAAAATTTAAGTCATTTTTATTTTAGTAGGGAAAACATTTTTATTCCAGTATTAAGTCACTCCATGAATCCTGCTTTAGGTTCATATTTTCAAGTTACAGGATGAAGTGGAGGGTGGAAGGAGACCAACCTACACTAGTCTATATTTACCCTATAAGAACTCTTACAGAGAAAAGAAACAAGATCTGCTTATGTCACTTGTGTGTTTAAATTAGTCTAAGAGAATAAAAACGCTTGTGAAACCACCCATGAGCCTTTTTATATAACTTAATATTTTGTCAGAAGTAGTGATATTATGACACAATTTCCAACTATTTTAACCTCTTATACAAACTCATTTATTTTTTGCAAAGAATTCTTTCATTTTAGTGGCTTCTCTTAGCTGTGGTGTTATGTTTTTGATTCCAGTATGCCATGTTCCAACCATTGAATTTCTCTGTTCTGCTGGCAGAGGAAAATACTTCAGTTAAGGTTGTTGTTAATTTTATCTCTTTCCAATACTTTTTTTTTTTGAGAGAGAGAGAGAGAGAGAGAATTTTTTAATATTTATTTTTCAGTTTTTGGTGGACACAACATCTTTATTTTATTTTATGTGGTGCTGAGGATCGAACCCAGTGCCCCGCGCATGCCAGGCGAGCGCGTTACCGCTTGAGCCACATCCCCAGCCCCTCTTTCCAATATTTAAAAATGAATTTTGTTCTGTTGTGTGTGTGTGTATTCATCAAGCATGTGTTCATATAAGTAGATTTTAATTAGAGGGAAAGTATTGGAAAAATATTAGTCCAGATAAGGAGAAACATTCATAAATTTAAATTTTAAAGTGACTAGAATCTTCTCTCAAATCTTAGAAGAGTCTCTGTAAGGATCATCTCCATAATAGAGAGAGATACAAAAATGTTAGTTATTTTGGACCCATCACACATGTATAAATATCACAATTCAGTTGCAATGTGCTAGAATAGAAGGAAGAATTGTGCATGGAGATGGCCTCTTTATCTTTGGAATGTGCTGGAGAGGTTCTTCTAATTCTCTGCCTAGGTTTCTTCTTTGCTTAACTGTGTTCTTGGGCATTTGTGAACAAAAAGACTTCAGAGAAACATGCTGAACTAATATGAGAAAAAGGAGTATTTGTTGCAATCTCAATATCATTTTGGTGGATCTTAATTGCATAATAATGTTAAGGACAATAACAGTGAGTAATAATCTTAGAGGCAGCTGGTATTTTTATTTTAATTTTTTGGCTGCCTGGAATCTACTAAATGTTAGATGGGAAAATGTTGATATCCAATTAAAAAAAAATGACATGTCGCTTTAACCTGTAGAATGATTTATTGTTATTGGGAGGAATGTGTATTATGTTTAAAATGCAACTCTAAAGGGATTTGTCAAGTAGATGTTTCAAGAGCAGTATAATAATGCATCTGCATAATTATGGTAGAAAGGATAACCTATTACCTAAAAAAAGACTCCAATTAGGTACTCAGTTGTGTTAATTCTTCTAACTATTGCTAAGGAAGTGAAACTCATCACCAAATGCCAAGAGAGATGCTAATTCTCCTGCCAACTTCTCCACTGAACCAACAGGTTTAGGGCAGGGACCCTGAAGAGGCCCCCAGAAGCTTCTAGAAGAGGGGCAGGAAACTCCAACTCAAGGAATTGATGAAGACTTCCAGAAATGTGTTTAGAAGACAATTTTACTGAAAGGCCTATATTCAAAGATGTTTATTTCTAAATGTACAGTCCTGAAATTAAAAATAACAGCAGCAACCATATATTGAGGGTTTGATATATGTAAGAAAATGTGCACATATTATTTCCTCTAATCCTTTATGAGAGCCCTGTGAAGTCAGTATTATTATCCAAGCTTGAC